AAAGATCTGTAGACAATGTTTATTGATCTGATCAAGGCCTTTGATACGGTCAGTCATGAGACTTAGGGAAAATTATGTCAAAATTTGGTTGCTGGGAGAAGTTTATCAGTATTGTATTTCAGTTTCATGACAGCATGCTTGCCTGGGTTCTGGATAACGTATATATGTTTTTGCACTTTCCCAGTCACCAATGGAGTGAAACAAGGCTGTGTGCTTGCTGCTACGCTTTGTAAAAAGCATGATATTTTCAGCCATGTTGTCAAATGCCTTCAAAAAGGATGAACACGGCATCAAAGTCAGCTACTGTATTGATGGTAAACTATTTAACTTGATATAGCTTCAAGCTGAGACTAAAGTGGAGGGAGAATTGATGCATTTTTTTTGTTTTTTTTTTTGTTTGTTTTTTTGGGGCAGATGATTGTGCACTCAGTGTAGCCTCTGAAGCTGAGATGCAGTAAAGTATGAATCAATTCTCTGCTGCTTGTGCTAATTGTGGCCTGTTAACACCAAGAAAACACAGGTGCTCTATGAGCCAGTACCACACCACCACACATATGTGGAACCAGCAGTTACAGCAAATGGAGAAGTTTTGAATGCTGTGGATAAGTTCACTTACCTTAGCAGTATACTTTCCAGGGACGTACACATTGATAATGAGATTGACAACACGCATTGCCGGAGCTAGCTCAGTGTTTGGAGGCTCTGAAGGAAAGTGTGAGAGAAGAAGTATTAGACTGACTACCATACTGAAGGTCTACAAAGCCGTTGGGCTAACCTCATTGTTGTATGCCTGTGAAACTTGGACAGCATACCAGCGCCATGTCAGGAAATTGAATCGTTTCCATTTGAATTGTCTTAGGAAGATTCTGAAGATCACCTGGCAGGATAAGATACCAGACACTGAGGTCCTTTATTGAACTAAACTGCCAAGTATTCCAGCTGTACTGAGGAGAGTGCAACTCTGATGGACTGGCCACATTTTTCGAATGCCAAACATACGCTTGCCTAAAAGACTATTTTATGGAGAACTCATGCAGAGTAAGCATTCGCATGGTGGTAAGAAGCAATACAAGAAAACTCTCAAGGTCTCTCTTAAGAACTTTGGAATTGATTGCGTGACATTGGGGATAATGGTACAGGATTGCCCGCATCAGAGAAGGTGCTGTGCTCTTTGAGCAAAGCAGAATTGAACTAGCTCAAAAATGTGAGACATGCAAATTTAGAAAATCCACCCCAAATGTTCACATGGACTACTCGTTACTGAGCATTCTGAGGTCGTATTGTCTGATTAACCATAGTTGGACATATTGTAACTTGACTCTTAACATAGTGATGTCATTTTGGTCCTCAGCACTCAGTCTTGATTAGAGTCTATAAGCAACTATAAGCCTGTAAGATTTATTTTTTCTTCCTCCTCCATCTTTATGACTCTTGTCACCCCTTCTCTCTCTCTCTGTCTCTCTCTCTTTTTTTAAGCAATTGGAGTTAAGTGACTTGCCCAGGGTCACACAGCTAGTAAGTGTCAAGTGTTTGGTCTGAGGCCAGATTTGAGCTCAGGTCCTCTGGTGCTCTATCTACTGTGCCACCTAGCTGCCCCGACCCCTTCTCTTTTTAACAATATCTGAAAGTGGAAGAGGAAGCCTTAAGAGGTAGCAGTTGATGTCATTGGAGGTATCATTAAGGTCAGGGGGTTCATCCCAGTGTGCCAGGGGCCTTCCTTGAGTTCTCTTGACATTGTGTTCATACCATTGGATCAGTTTTTTACATGTTGTGGCTGTTTGACTAACCCATCTTTTTTTCTGGTCATACGCTCCTCTGATGACATACTTTATAATACTTCATTTAAAATATTTTGCAGACTGTTGACACGTATCGTGTATGTACCTTCTACATTTCCCTTTGAGTAATTCTCAGTTTCAGTTCTGTGATCCTTCTATAGAGACTATGTTATTCCATGACTTAAATTCATACGACTGGTGTAAGAATATTGATGATAAAATGATAGGTCTTTAAAGTAATTTAGTTGTTATCAACGTCATCATTGTCAGTAGTTGTTATCAACGTCATTGTTGTCATCATCATCCTTTAGAAACAATGCAGTTTCCCAAAGGCAAGTCTAGTGTGCTTTCTCCCTCCTGGTTAATTACGGACTTACCTCACTGTGAGTGTGTAGTGTTGGTACAAGATAGTTGTGCTGATACAAACTCTGAGTTGTCCATCCAACAGCTTTCACAGCACATGGCCTAATTTGAGATCACAGATTACCTCAATAGAATAGGTGGTAACCCACTGTTGAGAGGGATTGCAGAGGAGGTGGTTTAGGAGAAGGGAAGAAAGAAAAACCAGTGGAGGAAAAGTCATGAGTCCTGGGGCCCCACTATTGAGTTCCCCTTCCTTGGAGGTCTTCAAGCAAAAGCTAAATCATTACTTGTTGGGGATCCTGTAGAAAAATTCGGGTTAAATCAGCCTGGAGAAGTCACTTCCCCTCTGGGATCCTCTTTCCTTAGCTATAAAAAGGGAATAATGATATTTAAACTATATAACCAGTTGTTGTTTGTCTTTCATTCTCAAAGAGGACCAATGACATCAGGAAAGTGATGTCATGACTTGCAGGTCAATTGGATTTAAGTGAGGCAGGACTTGCAGAGTCATCAGCCTCAATCTCTCCTCTGGAGTCATCTGGGTCCAGTGGCAAAACATAGATCAAGACAATTGGAAATGGCCCTGGATGTAGTGGGAGGCCTTGGTCTTTTTAACGTGTAACTCATAGAGTTGTTGTAAACAGACTTTTATCCTTCACAACTATACATTTGGAATTTGCTAATTGTTCTTCTGTGCTTGTAGTCTACCCATTGAAAGTCCAGATTATGTATGCTACACAGTGGTAATGCAGTCTATGTCTTAAAAATATTTGCTGTCAAGTGGATAATTTTGATTACATAAAATTGAAAAGTTTTTGCACAAAGCCAATGCAACTAAGATTAGCAGGAAGGCAGAGAAAATTGGGAAAGAATTTTTACAACCAGTCTCTCTGATAAAGGCCTCATTTCTAAAATATATAGAGAATTAAGACTAATTCATAAGAGCATAAGCCATTCCCCAATTGATAAATGGTCAAAGGATATGAACAGACAATTCTCAGATGAAGAAATTAAAGCCATCTATAGTCATATGAAAAAATGCTCTAAATTGTTATTGATTAGAGAAATGCAAATCAAAACAACTCTGAGGTACCACATCCCACCTGTCAGATTGGCAACATGACAAAACAGGAAAATGATAAATGTTGGAGAAGATGTGGAAAAATTGGAACACTAATACATTGTTGGTGGAGTTGTAAAATGATCCAGCCATTTTGGAGAACACTTTGGAACTGTGCCCAAAGGGCTACAAAAATGTGCATACCCTTTGATCCAGCAATAGCATTTCTAGGGCTATATATCCCAAAGAGATCAAACAAATGGGAAAAGGACCCACATGTACAAAAATATTCATAGCAGCTCTTTTTGTGGTGGCAAAGAACTGGAAATTGAGAGGATGCCCATCAACTGGGGGAATGGCTGAGCAAGTTGTGGTATATGAATGTAATGGAATACTATTGTGCTATAAGAAATGATGAACAGGCTGACTTCAGAAAAACCTGGAAAGACTTGTATGGTCTGATGCTGAGTGAAGTGAGCAGAACCAGAGGACTTTGTACACAATAACAGCCACATCATGCAATGACTAATATTGTTAAACTGAACCCTTCTCAGCATTACAAGGATCTAAGACATCTCCAGAGGCCTCGGGATGGAAAATGCTGTCCACATCCAAAGAAAGAACTATGGAAGTCGAATTGTTATCACTTATTTTTACCTTCTGTTGAGTTTTGTTTCATCTTTCTGATGGTTCCTCCTATTGGTTTTAATTTTTACTTACAACTTCACTAACGCGAAAATATGTTTAATAGGAACGTAAATGTAAAACCTATATCAGATTGTGCGCCGTCTTGGGCAGGGTCGGGGGGAGGAAGGGAGAAAAATTTTCAACTCAAAAGCATATGGAAGTGATTGTTGATAAATCAATAAATTAATAAAATTGGGGGGAAAAAAGAAAAAGAAAAAAATAAAGATATTTCAATGATAAAAAAAAATAAATAAAATGAAGGATGAACAACAACAACAACAAAATTGTATTTGCTGTCCAAAAGGAATAATGAGAAGGCAAATAAATATGAACAAAAATTAGACACAAATGCAGAAATGCATGATAACTAATGTTATGTTGGAAATAAGCTCTGCCTAGTCAGAGAAGAATTCCTTAAAGTGAGATTTGAGTTATGTTTGAAAGACTAAGAAGATTTGGCTTGGCAGATAGGATGAGGGATCTTGTAGCAAAGACTCAAAAGATAAAGGGATGGGGGATGGCAGGGCAGTTCTTGTAGATACAGAGGAGAGGAAGTAGCTGGAGGTACCCTCATTGGACTGTTGGGACTAGGTAAGGAAGACATGTTAAGCCTATGGGTAGTTGAATTATGATTTTCTTAAGAGAAATGTTGGAAGTTCTGCATTTTAAGAAGGCAGATAAAATGATTGTGCACCACTAGTAAAGGTTCATTTTTTTTCCCCCAGTGATAACTAAGGTGTACTAGTAGGATGGGGGTGAAGAGGAGGGAAGGGAGAATCAGGGATACCTTCTGAGGTTAGGATTGTAAACAGACTAGATGATTTATATACAGGGTGTCTCAGAAGTCTTAGTTTTAAGTTATTAAAACTGCTAAAGGTTAAAACTGCACCAAGATTTTTGGGATATCCTGTATACAAACCAGGACTTAGGGGAAGGAATTGTAAGCAATAGCCATTAGATTAAACCCTACCAGTAGTAGAGTTGTGGTTTGGTTTTGTTTTTTTCTCTTTAAGTGACTAAATTCCCTTCCTTATTTAAATGTAAAAGGTAGTAGTAGTGTTTTAGATTTTGAGAATACTTAGTAGAATCCTTTTTTTTGTTTTGTTTCAGGAACTACAGCAGTCCCTCTTGTCCCCTCTCATCAAAGCTGGTTAGTGGTGGCATGGAAGATACATTTGGTAAGTCCCTCCTGCATTTTGCTATCAGCTGTCTTTGTTACTAACTTTAGCTGCTGTGTTGATGACAAATTGAAGTTTCTCATCAGCAATGTGAAACTGTAGCTGGAAAGGTGATATATGAAACAGTTTGGAACAGACCCAAGAAGCAACATGTCATGTATCATAGGTAAAAGGAATTTAAAATTCCTTATCTTTGTCACCCAGTTACCTCCTTTGTACTAGCATCAGATTAGAAGGTAATTCAGTTCAACTCAATCAACACTGAGTGCCAGGTACTGAGCTGCTAAATGTTGGGATACAAATATGGGGGGAAAAAGACATCCCAGCCTGAACGAAGTTTACATTTGAATGGGGAAAGAGGAAGCTCAAAAGGCGGGAGGGAAGCAAGTGGAGAGCCACTGAGAGGAAAGGAAAAGTTATTGAAAATGTCCTGAGCTGTCTGTAAAGGGCAGCTCCAGTCTCCAGTCTCCAGCCTCCCATCAGAATGGCAAGGCAGGCCAAGGGACTGCTGAGAAGTTGCAGTTTGTGGAATGTTTTTCAAAAGCAGACCTAAGCATAGAGTGAGCATTCACCTTGAGGTTTCCCATTTTGCCTCTTGGCCTCTGTCTCCAGTGTAATAGAAGATCCGAAAGGGCAGTTTTTTGTCTTTGTACTCCAAGAGGCCCTTGAGTGGAGTAGACACATCATGTTGTTCATTGAAGTGAAATGAGTTGGATTGACAGCTTTTGAGGGCTACTTATGTTGTTGTCTTTTTAATTCTACTGGTTGTAGATGTGATTGAACGATTATGAATATAAACAAGGGTTGCTTTCTTTTTGGGTTTTCCTGATTTTTATTTCTAGACAGTAGGATATGTCCTAGAATGCCGTGACTGTTGCCATTGCTAAGTACCTCCTATTTTAAAATGGGAATCACTTGGAAAATGACAGCTTCCTAGTCCTAAGTGGTGAAGGAAGTGTCTTATTCTAGCAATGTGGTTACTAAGGAACTAGAACAAAAACCTAGCGTTTTCTTTCTTGATACTTCCACAGAAGTTATAGGCTAGCTCTCTAGTGACAGTAGGGGAAGAAAAACCAGAGTTTTGCCATTGTTGCTGTTAATTTTTTGATGAACTCATTAGCCCTCACATCTCCCCTACAAAAAGAGTGTAAGGAGGGTGACTTTAAATTTATATTCTATCAGTTACTTTACTGTCAATAGAAACTGACATGCCAGAGGCTATGATGAGATTCTTAGGTAGAATGGAGAATCTTTAGGACTCTTCTTTAGGGAATTGGTGATATGTAGATCATGAATTGCTTTTACTTCACCTTGAAAGGATAGCTATTTTTGGAAACTATACGAAGAAATAAAAACACCTAGAATTTCTCTACTTGATGACCAACATAATTGAATGTCCATAGAAGACTCTTGGGGCCTTGGCAGAATTGGTGTCCTAAAGTGAATAGGACTGTTAAAACCATCAGCACATCTTGGATGTAGATCTGTTCTTGGGGAGTTGGAACACTAGAGGGCAGGCTATATATATATAGTTGGAGATTTGTAGCCAAGCTGGAGTTTGCATTTTGTAAAATGTTTAACTTATAATCATTTACAGTTGGTCATTTTTGAAGAGAACAGTAACCCACATTTCTGTGACTACCCTTGTCATATTTTTTATTTCCTTTCCACTTCCTGTCTATTTATGTTGGATTTGCTTGTTTTCCACTTGTTTTTAGAACTGTATACTAGTATTTAAGGACTGTTTACAGGGTTGCTGTTTAAGGATAAAATTAGTATTCTATTCATTGGAATACCCTCTGTTTCTTAGAGATTAGTGGTCTTTGAGGTTGGGAAAAGCATTTCACAAACTGTTATACAGATAAAGGTATTAAAAGGGCTTCTTTATACCTCCTGAAAAAGGAGATAACATATCTAAGGCGTTAAAGTATATAATAAAGTCTAACTGTACATCACTGATTACACTTCTGTTCCTAACACTTGAATATTTTTTTTGTTTTGTTTTGGTGAGGCATTTGGGGTTAAGTGACTTGCCCAGAGTCACACGGCTAGTAAGTGTTATATATCTAAGGCCAGATTTGAACCCAGGTCCTCCTAACTCCAGGGCCAGTGCTCTATCAACTGTGCCACCTAGCTGCCCCTGAATTTTTTTTTTTACTGTATTCAGGGATTGTGTTAACATTGGTTTAATGTGGGGTCACCTGAAGAATATGTAATTCTTACTTTATTTTGTGTCTCTTCAGAAGTCCTTTCCCCCTTTGTGTGATTGTCATGTTGTTTGTGGTTACTTTTCTTTTAAAATTCCTTTTCTCCCAGTTTCTCACTTATTTTGAGTGGCACAGACATTTATATTTCTTTTAGTCTTTATCTCTTTTTTAATCATCCACTATTACTTTGTCAGCTTCTCCTTTTCCAGACTTAACTTCCCTCCCATCCACCTAAAAGAGCATTGTAATTCCTATTTTATCCTGAAAAAGGAGGTAAAAGGAGACAGTCCAAGAAGTTGTAATGGGTAAAGTTTCTCATGGTTGCTCATTTTTTTATTTTATTGATGCTTTATTAAAACATTATAGTAACTTCCCAATAACACATATGTAGAGCACTGCCTGGTAACAAAGAAGATAATACATTGATCATCTTTAATGTGTTTCTGGGTTCACACTCAGTCTGCCACCTCTTGGCCAAGAAATGGGTGGTATAGCAGTCCTCTGGAATCAAGATGATCACCATGGATCTGAAGGGAAGCTTTTCCTGGTCTCCTGTTTTCTCCAAGGATTATGTTTTGTGTTGTGTTTTAGAGCTTCTTGTGGCTCCGTCCAGGTACTGTTTGGAACCTCCTTTGGCCAAAGTGCTTCCCTGTTTTCCCAACAGTTCCCTCAGGAATAGTAGGGAGTCCTTTCCTGCCATTGGTTTTCTCTGATTTTATCAGCCATCAGTGTCTTGTTTGAGGTCACTTCCCACTTGTATATATAGTCTTTCCAGGTCTCAGTTCATTGCTTTTTTGTAGAAAATTCAGGTTGTTGTACTTTTAAGAGATTACAACAATCTCTTATTCTTCTTCATCATTATTATAAGTGTACTTTACGTTTCCTGATATTCTCCACTCTTGCCTTTTATGTGTCTTCTGCATAGCCTAAAACAACCTTTGGGCAGGTTATTTCACCTTTCTGGACCACTGTTTCCTGATCTGGTAAAATGAGGTAATTAAATTACTTTTTCTTTAAGATCCTATGATTCTAAATCATGTCCTATTTTTATATTTTTTCTCAGCGTTCGGTTTTGTCCTAAACAATTTTGAACATTTCCTTCAAATAAAAGAAATTAGGTAAACCCCCTAACTCTTTCCTGCTTAACCTCACTCCAAAGTAAATGGAGAAAAACAATTTAGATTGCACATATGTAAGCTTCTTGAGCACAGGAGCACTTTTTTTTTGTATAGCATTTTTTTTAAATTTTAATTTTTAAATTTTTTTTTCCATATGCTTTTGAGTTGAAAATTTTTCTCCCTTTTCCTCCCCCCCACCCTCCCCAAGACGGCGCACAATCTGACATAGGCTTTACATTTACATACCCATTAAACATATTTTCACATTAGTGAAGTTGTAAGTAAAAATTAAAACCAATAGGAGGAACCATCAGAAAGATGAAACAAAACTCAACAGAAGGTAAAAGTAAGTGATAGCGATTCGACTTCCATAGTTCTTTCTTTGGATGTGGACAGCATTTTCCATCCCGAGGCCTCTGGAGATGTCTTAGATCCTCGTAACGCTGAGAAGGGTTCAATTTAACATTCTTAGTCATTGCATAACGTGGCTGTTATTGTATACAAAGTCCTCTTGGTTCTGCTCACTTCACTCAGCAACAGACCATATAAGACTTTCCAGGTTTTTCTGAAGTCAGCCTGTTCATCATTTCTTATAGCACAATAGTATTCCATTACATTCATATACCACAACTTGCTCAGCCATTCCCCAACTGATGGGCATCCTCTCAATTTCCAATTCTTTGCCACTACAAAAAGAGCTGCTATAAATATTTTTGTACATGTGGGTCCTTTTCCCATTTGTTTGATCTCTTTGGGATATAGCTCTAGAAGTGCTATTGCTGGATCAAAGGGTATGCACATTTTTGTAGCCCTTTGGGCACAGTTCCAAAGTGTTCTCCAAAATGGCTGGATCATTTCACAACTCCACCAACAATGTATTAGTGTTCCAATTTTTCCACATCTTCTCCAACATTTATCATTTTCCTGTTTTGTCATGTTGCCAATCTGATAGGTAGGATGTGGCACCTCAGAGTTGTTTTGATTTGCATTTCTCTAATCAATAACAATTTAGAGCATTTTTTCATATGACTATAGATGGCTTTAATTTCTTCATCTGAGAACTGTCTGTTCATATCCTTTGACCATTTATCAATTGGGGAATGGCTTGTGCTCTTATGAATTAGTCTTAATTCTCTATATATTTTAGAAATGAGGCCTTTATCAGAGAGACTGGTTGTAAAAATTCTTTCCCAATTTTCTGCCTTCCTGCTAATCTTAGTTGCATTGGCTTTGTGCAAAAACTTTTTAATTTAATGTAATCAAAATTATCCATTTTGCTGCAGGAGCACTTCTTAATGGAATTCTGTTATGCTATAGGCATTTGTTAAATGCAGTTTAGTTCAGTTAAGCTAATAGTTATTAAATGCCTACTTTTATATAAAGCCTTTAGTCGAAGCTTATGTATTTATTATATTCTGATTTGCATAATATTTATTTGTGTCTTATTCCCTCTCATCCCAACCCCACTAAATTATAGGTTCCTTCAGAGTAGGGACTGTGTCTTATTTACCTTTCTGCCTATTTCATTAAAAAAAAATCCTGTGCATTCTTTATCTGAATTGTAAACAGTCCTTTGATAAAGAGATTTTGTTCCCCTATTATTGTGCTAGTGGAATATTCGACTGTCTGGGTGGCACTTCCCTGCAAGCTCTTGGGAAATGAATTTGTGTTGTTTTGTTTGAAGTGTGAGATTTAACAATAACACATTCCTTTCCTCCTTCCCCTTCAAGAAAGGGGGTGGGGGAGATGATTAGGTTAATTAGTGTTGAGATCCTGTTGCTGAGCTAGAGAAATTATGTACAGCAAAAATCCCTCCCACTTCAAAATAATTAAATCAGGAATTTAAAATTGTAAGTGCTCAGAGATTAAAATGACAGTCAAGTGAAGATAATCCAATTCTTTCTCAGAGTCATAGGTGAAGAAAGAGAACAGTCCAGTTATAGGGCAAAAGGGCTCTGATTTGGGGGATAGAGTTTTGCGTGTGAGGAATAGTAAGCCAATATGACTAGATTGTAGGGATTATAAGAAGGCAAGAAAGGGCCTGGCTGTGAATAAATGCCCAAATTCTGTCATTTTTCCTTAGGATTTAATTTTTTAATGTAAAATGTGTATAATAATTAACATAGCATTTACTATGCCAGAACTGTGCTAAGTGCTTTACAATTATTGTTTCATTTGATGGTCATAACAGCCCTGGGAAGTAGGTGCTTTATTATCCCCATTTTACAGATAAAGAAACTCAAAGGAAACAGCTTAAGTGAACAGATTTGAACTTAGGTGTTAGTCTTTTCAGGGCTACTTATCCAACCTTTGGTGTTCACCAAATTCACCCAACTCTTACCTGTGGCTCCAAGAAGAGGTAGCATGCTCATGGTTCACACCCTGGTATATTGTCTCAGCAGACAGGCTAAACCAGGTTAAGGGTAACTGACTGGCCTCAAACTCTTCAGTGACTTAAGGGGATGTCTACCTCGAGCATGTGAAGACCTCTCCCGTGGGAATGGGTGGATGAGAACAATTTGTTCCAACGACCATGAAGTTGGCTGAAGGAGCTTAGAGCCTGGTCAAGACTTCAAAGATGCCAAGGAATTCCACTGCGTCTCAGGCCATCCCCAGTCATCCTGACTTTTGTCTTACCACTGGACTTCAGTGAGTCTGGAAGAGAGAGTGAAGCTGGCAGCTTTGTGAATCTGCCACACTTTATTCCAATTCATGAGCAAGTCAAGACATCACCCTGTGACATCTTTGGTCCTTGAAGGGGAGGCGAGGCCGGTCCAAACAACAAACATGGATTAAACACCTGTTGCCAGACCGTTTGCTAAGTGCTAGGACCAAGAAAGGGCAAAGACAGGCCCTTCCCCCAGGGAGCTTGCTGTTTAATAAAGGGGAAGACTATGCACTAACGAAAGTGAAAAGGGGTCAGTTGGGGAGGGGAGAGCAGTGAAAAGTGACGTGATGGTTGAACTTTTGCGCTTCCTTTAATGGAGGTTTTGGGAGGAACTCTTCACTCCAGCTAGGAGTCTAGGGGCAGAGGGTACTAAGGTTTGAGTAACAAGGTTAAAGAGATCTTGCAGGATGATTACTGATGATGAGATCTTCTTTCTGACTGACTTAACGTGTCTTAGCCTGGGCAGTTTCTATAAGGACTTAAAAGTACTCTTTCAAAGGCAAAATTGATCCTTGGACCTATGTTGCTTCCTCTTAGACATCAAAATTAGAGTCTAAAAGGTACCATTTAAGTGTAGAACAAAAAAATTAATACTATACTGTGTATTTTAGGGAGATCTGTAAGAAATAATTTTTATTCATTAACATCATTCTAAATCTGAGCATTTTCTAGTTTATAGAGAAAAATGTCCAGATTTGCTTAGCCACACCCAACCCTCCTACCTCTCGAGCCCTGGGACACATCTCTACTCCAGTATTATTTGAGATAAACTTTTATCGGAATCTTCAATATAAGTTAAAATACAGTGTTGGGTTAACAGAACAGTAGTCACTAATTTATTCCTATCTGGAACATTCTCTTTAAAGAAAGAAAGGTCTTCTTCCCTGCAATCGATATCACCATCCGTTCCAAATAACTAAAAAGGGTGCTTTCCTTGCTGAGTCCAGGCCATTTGCTTCAGGTGATGGGGAACTAGACTAGAGATAAGTGATTTTTCACCATTAATCCATTTAAGAGGCAAGCCCTAACTTTTGGTCTACTTTCTTTCCTCACGGAAAGGTCTGGAAAGTGTTTAGGTTAGAGAAATATTTATTTTTTAAAATTGTTAGGAAAATTATGTTTTTAATGTGTTTCTATAGTGTACACCTGTAAATATACTTGTAAAGTTCCGCTGACATTTTTCAATGTAATTGTGGATAGCGTGCTACTTTTAATTCTCATTTCTAATTGTCTAACTTAGCATTTTTTGAATCTTTCATTTTTACATTGTTTTATAATAGCTATTAGGATACTTGGTGGCGCAGTGGCTAGAGTGCTGGACCTGAAGTCAGAAAGACCCATCTTCTTGAGTTCAAATCTGGCCTCAGACACTAGCTGTGTGATTCTGGACAAGTCACTTAACTGTGTTTGCCTCAGTTTCCTCATCTATCAAATGAGCTGGAGAAGGAAATGGCGAACCACTCCGGTAGCTTTGCCAAGAAATCCTCAAATGGGGTCACCAAGAGCTGGACATGATTGAACAACAGCCATTGCTCTGTTGTTGAGCATGTACAGATTTTTTTTCATCTGTGTTATGTATTGTATGTCAGTAAGTATTTGGTGATGATCAGTGATATTTCAATATCTTGGTGAGTTTTTTATTAATGAGGCTTAGAAAGTAGAGGAAGAAAACTAATAACTGGTGAATCCTGGGAAAGGAAAGCTTATGCTAATTTTTAAAAATAATTTTAGTGAGGACTAGAAAATTTAGAACTTGGCATTGTATTACCTGTTAAAGTCTTTAACATCTCTTATTCTGAGATATGGTAGGTAATAATACGTGCTTGATTGGGCAAGTCTAGTGATAATACTAATTTAATGTAATATGAGTGACATTAAGTTGTGTGGTAGTGTCCTTGGATATTTGGGACATAGGTATAGCTACATATGTCATAATATTACACATAAGAGAATGTTTCTTATTGCAAGAACTCAAGTTTGTAATCCATTAGAATACGCTTCCTGGTGTAGTTATAAAAGATTAGTAAATAGTGGACTGAGTAATCTCTGTTCCATTCAACCTTACTGCTTTGTAATTTATCATCATCTGTAATAAATGCTTATCGAATTGGTTGGAATTGAAGATTTTAGTCAGGGAAGCTTTTCTCCTAGGAAAATATCTTGGCTTTCAGATACTTTAATGAAACCCAGGGCTCTCTCTCTGGAGTTCTATGTATGTATATATATGTATACGTGTGTATGTATATGTATTTTTGTGTGTGTGTGTGTGTGTGTGTGTGTGTGTGTCTATAAGCAAATCAATACCTTGCTACTAGACCCCAGAGGAGAAAGTGAGGCTGGTGACTTTGCACAGCCCTCCCTCACTTAAATCCAGTTCATTTGCATGTCATAGCATCATCTCCCTAATATTATGGTCTTCTTTGAGAACTAAGGACAAACAGCAGCAACATAGAAGTATTTATCATTTGGCAGGTAATATATTATATGAACATGGAATAATAAATTTAGAATGGGAAATTGAGGTCATGTAGTCCAACCACTTAATATTATTGCCTTTGTTTATCTTCTGCCAGATTTTCTTCTACATCAGTAATTCTGTGTTCTGAACCTCTTATTCGTATTTTGCTTCTTTGGAGAAACTGTCCACCACGGCTACGGTTTTTTTCCCCCAGTTCTGCTAATAGAGGTATTTAATTTTTTATCTCTTTGAGAGCTAAACATTCTGACATGTTTATTCCTAATTTTTCTCACAGTTTTCATTTATCTTCTTAGAATTTCTTATCCCATATTCTTTGGGATTCCATAAGTTCCTACGTTTCTCGTTTAGTCAGAAGTTGCTTTCCTTTTTCTTATATTTGTTAAGAGATTTTTGTACTTACTTTGAAAGCATAGTTTCTAGTAATCCTGCCATCTAGTCTTAGTGTTGTCTTTGTTGATTTATTTGCTGGTGCTTCAGGCATTTAATTGAATTTGCTTTCTTTTGAATTCCTTGAATTCCTTTTGTATTCTTTGGTCTTCTTGAAATGTTTATATTCCTAGTCATTTCTTGACTCTCCTTTAGTGGGTATTGCCACCCCTCCCACCCTTTCTGGCCCTCAAATTAAGATGATTACAGCCTTCATTGCTTATATGCTATTTGGGGGAAAATTATAAATAAAAGGATATTCAACTATAGGGCAGATGGAAGAACGTAGAAGTCCAAGATATCACCTGTAGGCATGTGCAGGGCCCAGGAGTACTTGGTTTACAACAGTAGGTCAGATAATAGTGGGGATCTGCAGGGGTATAGAGGCAAGTTAGATGGTGAAGCCTGTAGGGCCGTAGAAGGCAGATGCAGTACTAATGGCTAGAAGTCCAATCACTTATTTTTTACTGATAAAATAAGGTGAAGTGCCTGCATTGTGTGATACATTCTCCTGGACTCAGTTTCCTTGTCAGTTAAACAGAAGCAATAATAGAATTTGCTGATACAAAGTGGCCTCTTTACCTAGGGCAGTGACCCAGTCAGCAATCCAAGCCATGAGTCTTTTTTTTTGGAGGGGGGGGGCTAGGCAATGGGGTTAAGTGACTTGCCCAGGGTCACACAGCTAGTAAGTGTTGTGTGTCTGAGGCTGGATTTGAACTCAGGTCCTCCTGAATCCAGGGCCAGTGCTCTATCCACTGTGCCACCTAGCTGCCCTGTGAGTCTTTACTAACCAGCATTTAGGTGATGCTTTGGGGAACAGGGAGAAGGGATAAGATAGGCATGTGGTCCAAACTCCAAAAAATTTTGGAGTAATTTGCTTTGAAGGTCTGCCCAACCCATTGGACAAGCATATCCTCTAGGCCTTCATTATGTATGGAATAATTCACTTCTATATTCCAGAGTACTCTAAGCACAGCATTTATTTTTCCTGTCTCATCTTTGAAATGGGTAAATGATTTTGACTTTGCTACAGCTAGGCAGTCACTAGACAGGTACAGAGTAATGAGGAAAAGCAGATTCAAGTCTGATGTAATCCAGAGCTGTCAAACCCTTAACCTTAATGGAATGTGACTGGAGCCAGATTAAAATGTAATTGGGAAATGTTTAACAATATAACATAGATAATGTTGATTTGTGGCTTTCCAATGCAGTATGCACCTGTGTTTCTATTTGAGTTAGACACGACTGGTGCAATATGTAGGATTTGAAAACTTGATCAAAATAAGCCATCCTGAGAAATATTAATTGGGAGGAACCTCATTCTTCAATAGGATTCTGGATTTTCTAATGAGAGACTTTCTCTGTCATGTCCCAGAATCCACTTCTTCTTGGTAGCTTACTCCAGCTCTGAAATTCACACATTGGAAATATACTCTGCCTCTGAAGCCTTTTCTTCTGAACTGATGGCTTTTTCCAGAGCCCCCATTTAAGGAATGACCAGGTCATCTAGATCTTAATTCTTGTTCAGGTTGCACTCTAGACTTTCTCAATTCCTTGTCTGTAAAATTCAAGGGTTGAACTAAATGTCCTTAGAGTCCCGGCTTTAAATCTATGATCATAAAATTTAACTGGAGTCTGTCACGTTTTGGCTTTTCTCAAAGACCCAGCTATCTTATGTCAAATTTGCATTTTTTCTCAGGTAAAAACATTTTTTATTATAATTCTTCTGGATCTATAATAGCATATTGTACTAAAGATTGATTGCCTTGAGAAATAAAACTGACACTGATCTAGTTACTTTAGCATAGCCAGGCATGCAAAGGATATGTAAGTAGCACATCTTTTTTTTACCCCCTCTTGTTGAATCTTGCTATCTACACTGTGAGAGCAGAGCACAAGCCCTGGCAGATCCTCGTAAGCAGGAAAGGCTTTGAGGATGGCCTGGTGATAGATTGTGTCTGTGGCCTGAGAATTTTTCAGGCCAGACAGAGGCTTATCTGCAGGATGGCCATAAGGTGATAAGTTTTTTGGCATGTAGTAATTATCAAATGCCTATAGAGGGGTTGTGATGTTCATCAATGGAAGGAGTACCCATACTGACAATTAAAGATTCTTGAAATCTGTGAGGAAATTTTAGGAAATAACTAAGTATCTTAGTGTGTTAGATTTTTCTACTAAATTTATTACCTTGTTGTTGTTTGTCCTTCATTCTCAAAGAGGATGGTGACATCAGGAAGGGGATACCATGACGTGCAAGTGAATTGGATTACAGTGAGGGAGGGCTGTGCAAAGTCACCAGCCTTACTTTCTTCTCTGGAGCCATCTGGATCCAGTGGCCAGATATCGATCAGGACAAGTGGAGGTGGCCTTGTTACACCTTCAAGTAACTCTGAGTATATGTTCAGCTTTCCATTATCCCTGTAACTAGAATGGAAGCTGAGGTTCATTCAAACACTGCTTTGGTTTGGCTTCAGAATTCAGTTGCCCTGTACTTGATCCTAGAGATCTCTACTTTGAACTCTCTCATATTTGTGTTGGGATTGTGGTGGTATGACATGGATAATAGGGAACTGCAATTGATGAATAGTTTGCGAAACAAGGACTATTGAAACACCTAGGTGTGGGTGTTTCTGGTTCCTTTACATTCATTGCCTTTGAGTCACTTGGTAATCATGTGTTCATTACTCAGAAATAATATGTGATAGCTATATCTTTTTCTCATGTTATTATCAGTTGTATTGAGATCTTATTAGATAAAATATAATGTGCCTAGGGAAAATATTGTTATTTTGGTAATCATCAGATTTTGAATATCTACCCGGTGAATATCTTGTGTTTTTCTATTTTTTTTTAAAGGTTTCCCTCTGATCTTCTCTTGTAATGAGTTTGAGGCCTGGCTGAGGTATGATTTACAGCTGATAAGGACAGTAGAAATCATTTAATACAGTTTTTTCCCTTTATAGATGAGGAAACTGAGGCCCAGAGTAGGGAAAGGATTTCTGAGGTAATACAGATAATTGTTGGCATGTTTAGGACTGGAATTTGTATCTCCTGATTCACAGTACATTGTTCTTCCTTTCACATCATATACAGGCTAGAATGCAAATACTTCTTCAGGCTTTTATTCCCGCCCCACTTAATAATGTAAAGCCACCCAACAGGTACTGCTTTTACTACTCACTGTCCTCTCCAGTGCATCTTTCGTACCATTGTCATATGTCTCTTCCTTGTGCACTGATCTCATCATATCACTTCTGCTCAGAAACCCTTTAGAGGTGTACTATTATTGCCTGTTGAACAAAATCCGAAATTCTTAGCCTAACATTGAAGACCTCCACAACCTAGCACCAACCTGATGTTTACCCCACTGTGGACTTGAGCCAAATTGGATTTGTCCTAACAAAGTGTTGCCACCTGCAAAAATATTACCTTCCTTTAGAGACAGCTCAGATGAAGCATTAGCTATCTGGCCTTTAGTAGGCAGCTTGCCGAATTTGGATCCCCAGTTTCCTTAAAGTGGTGTTGATGATGTCGTCCCCTTCACTACTTCCATCTCAGGATTTTGGGTGAGCCACAAAGATCAGCTCTTCTTATTGTCATTGTTAGTGGACAGTCTTAAGGAAGATTGTGACTCAAGCATCATTATAGTAGAGTGATATTGTAGAAAGTATCCCTTCTCTGCTTGTGTGACTTTGGGAAAAGTCACTTAATATCTCTGAGCCTCACTTTCCTCTTCTGTTAATAAAAGTGTTGAATTATACTTTCCCTTAGCAACACTTCTGGCCATAAAATCCTATAAGTTGTGGGTTCTTAACTGGGGAGGGGGAGTTATAAATTTGTTTAAAAAAAATTTTGGTAACTGTATTTGAATACATTTGGTTTTCTAGGTAATACCATGTATTTTGTTTTATGCATTTAGAAACATTATTCTGAGAATAGCTTCATAGGCTTCACCAAACTGGCAAAGGGGTTCATGACAGAAAAAGCTTAAGTACCCTTGCTGTAAGTCTTGATGTAGTGAAAAATAATACTGGATTTTCAGGCGATTATGTAAGTTTGACTCTGCCTGTACCACTTATTTCCTGTGTGATGTGAAGCAAATCACTTAAACCTCTCCAGGTATCAGTTTCTTCATTTGTTAAATATGAATATTAGAAGAGATGATGTTTGTGGTCCCTTGCAGCTCTGAATATGATCTTGTAACAAGAAATGCATGCTTTTCCCACGCAGTTAAAAAAATTGTGATTTTAATGTACATCAACAAAATCAGCATTTTCAAAATACAGTAGAACAGAAAGAGGATTTTGGATATAAAACTCCCAATTTCTGTTCTATACAACTTGCAGAAAAATGCCCTCTCTATCAGCCCCACTTTCCTATTAGATACTTTCAGTGAGGTGCTTCTGAGGGAACCTAGGTATAAATGTTAATGTGAGCCATTACCAGTGATGGAAAGGTAAGCCCAAGGACCTGTCTCCCAATCTGAAAAAAGATACAATCTGGCTGTTTTTTCAGGTGCCACATCCCCCACCTCTGTAGTAGCCCCAGCTGCTAAAGACCTAGAAAGGAAAATTATCCCCACCAAAGGCCTTGTAATTGTCAAGTGTTTCAACCTTAGAAATGGCTGTGTTTTTTATCTGGAAAATGTTACCTACTACACCCTAAGAACCATGGAGTTTTTCGTCTGATTTGCAACTGAAAGCTTCTCAGTGTATTGTCTCCATTTAGACTTGGTGCAAAGACTTTTTCTATTCAGTCCCACTAGCTTAGCACAGTGCATTCTATGTTCATTTATTGATTTACTTGTAATGAAGGCAAGATTATTTATCTTTCTTTCTTGCCATCTAACACAGAACTCTACATATAGTAGACCCTTAATAAAATGTCTGGTATGTAGCATAATGCCCCGCACGTAGGTGCTTTAGTAAATGCTTGTTAAATGAATTAAAAGAATGAATGTTTGGTGCCTTTAATTAAGTGTAGAATAGAGGAGGCTCAAGGATAAGTGGTATAAGCTGATCCATAAAAGTATGTGAGCAATAAGAAGTCAGTTGAAACTACTCTGTTGAGGAATATTTAGTGTATTTCAACTCTGTGCTGGTATTAGTTTGTTTTTTATTTATATTACTTCTTAGTTAAGTAACAGAGTTCTATTAAACCCTTTTTAAACTAGTGGTTTTGCAAAGTATTTTATTATTTTAGGCCAAAGTTCTTTAATCTCCTTCATAGCCACCAAACATGAAATCTTCATTCAGCCCATGGAAAGGGTTGGGATTTGTGATTCAGAAGAACAGTCCAGGATTGAGGGAGGCAGCATGGTGTAATGGAAATTGCAGTGGACCCACAACCACGGGACCTGTTTTCGAATTCCAGCTCTGCTTCTTACTACTTCTGAGCCTTGAGTAAGTCACTTTCTTTCTCTGGTCCTCAGTTTCCTCATTTGTAAAATGAAGGGCTTAGACTAGATAGTAGATAAAGTCCATTCCAGTTGTAAATCTATGATCCTTTGATCTTTATTTTTGTTTTTTATTCTGAACTGAACAAAATTAAATGTAACGGAACACTTTCATATACTTTTAGCAAATCAGGAAAAGAGCCACATACATATTCCACCACATACAACTTGCTTTTCTTCTGAAATGTATAGTAAATTCAGTATGTAACTTACAAAGCTGTCCTGCTTGTCTGTGCTTCTTTCTGGCTTCCCTTATCTTCTGTGCATTTAAAAAAATGCTCTGGCTGCCTTTTTGTCTTTGTAGAAGACTTCCTTGTCCCTACCCCCCCCCCCACCATTTCCTCCTACCTCCTCGTTGGGGTAGAGGAGAGAGAAAAAGAAAACGCTTGTAATAAATATGCAGTGTCAAGCAAAATTGATTTCCACAGCACTGTCTACAAATGTATGTTTTATTTTTCAACTTGAGTACATCAACTCTCTAAGATGACTATCATGTTTCATCCTTGGTCCTTTAGAATCATGGTAGGTTACTACATTGAACAGAGTTCTTAATTCTTACAGAGTTGTTTTTATAATATTGTTATTGTATAATCTGTTCTAATTCTGCTCACTTCACTCTGTATCAGTTCATTCAGTTCTTCACAAGCTTCTCTGAAGCTGTCCCCTTCCTCATTTCTTATAACACAGTATTGCATCACATTTGCATATTCTTTTTATCATTTATCATTTTGGGAATGGCTCTTATTCTTATAAATTTGAATCAGTTTCTTATTATCTTGGCTATGAGATCTTTGTTAGAGAAACTTATTGAAAGGGGTTTTTTCCCCCCTGAGTTGTTTCTCTTTTCATTTTAAGTACATTGATTTGGTTGGAGCAAAATCTTTTTAAATTTTATCTCCTCTGTTCCTCTCTCTATATTGTTTAATCGTGAATTCTTCTCCTATTCAAAGTTTTAAAAAGTAATTTCTTCCTTGTTTCTTTGTTTATGATGGGACCTCTTAGATCATAGTCATGTATCTTAAGTCATATGTCTGGAGTTTATTTTGGTATACAGTGTGAAATGTTTATCTAAACCTAATTTCTATCAGTCTGCTTTCCAGTTTTATCAGTAGTTTTGGTCAGATAGTTTCTGCCATATTTTCTTTTTCCTCTGTATTGTTTCATTTGGTAATCTCATCACTTCTCATGCATTCAGTTGTCTGTATGCTGATGATGATCACATCTCTTTGTCCAGCCCCAACATCTCTGTAGACTTCTAATCTCAGATCTCAAGCTTGGACATTTTTTTTTTTTTTGGCGAGGCAGTGGGGTGAAGTGATTTTCCCAGGGTCACACAGCTAGTAAGTGTCAAAAGTCTAAGGCTAGATTTGAACTCAGGTCCTCCTGAATCCAGGGCCAGTGCTCTATCCACTGTGCCATCTAGCTGCCCCTGAGCTTGGACATTTTAAATTGGATGACCTTTAGATATCTTAAACTGTTTTGAAGTAAAAACTTAAAATATGTCCAAAACTTAAGTCTCCTCCCCCCCCATCTTCCCCCTAAAAAAACAAAAACAAACCTCACCTCACTTCCTACCCTCCCTATTATTGTCAAGGGTACCACCATCGTTTCAGTTTCCCGCACTCCGAACTAAGGTGTCATCCTGGACACCTTATTCTCTCCCTTCCTTCACCTCCTATATTCATTGTGTTCCCATGGCTTGTCAGTTTTATGATCCTGACATTTCTCAGATGCATCCCCTTCTCTCCTCTGATACTGCCATGACACAGTTGTAGGCCTTCCTGACCTCACACTTGGACTCTTGCGTTAGCCTGCCAGTTGGCCTCTCTGCCTCAAGTGTCTCCTCCCTTCCATTCATCTTTCAAAGCGATCTTCCTAAAGTTCAGGTCTGACCAGGTCACCTCGTCAGTAAACTCAAGTAAGCTCCCCATCACCTCCAGGATGAAATAGAAAAAATCCTGTTTGTCATGAAAAAGTCTTTTATAACCAATCTTCTAATATCTTTCTCCCCCCTGCATTCTCGGCTATCTATGGACACTGGCCTTCTTGCTATTCCTTTTTCACAAGACACTTTGTTTCTCAATTCTAAGCGTTTTCAGTGATTGTCTCCCATGCCTGGAATTCTCTCCTTTCTCATCTCTGCTTTCTGGCTTCCTTCAAGTCTATAGGAAGGTTTTCTGGATCCCTTTTTATTCTAATCTCTTTCTTCTGTTGATTATTTACAATTTATCCTCTGTGTAGCTTTCATAGTTACTTGCATTTGTGTCCCCTGTGCTTAGCATAGTGCCTGGCACATAGTGGATGCTTAAAAAACGCTTATTGAGCAAAAGGACTAAGATGTACAAAAAATATTTATAGCAGCTTTTTCTGTGGTAGCAAAGAATTGGAAATTGAGGGGATGCCCATCAACTGGGGAATGGCTGAACAAGTTGTGGTATATGAAAGTAATGGAATACTATTGTGCTATAAAAAAATGATGAGTGGGCAGACTTCAGAAGAACCTGGAAAGACTTGTATAGACTGATGCTGAGTGAAGTGAGCAGAACCAGGAGAACGTTGTACACAGTAACAGCCATGTTGTGGGATGACTAACTTTGATAGACTTAGCTCTTCTCAGCAATGCAAGGATCTAAGACATCTCCAAAATTCTCATGATGGAAAATGCTGTCCACATCCAGAGAAAGAACTATGGAGTCTGAAAGCAGATCGAAGTATGCTATTTGCTCTTTTTTTTTCCTTCTGTTTTGTTTACTCTTTCTTGTGGTTCCTCGTATTGGTTCTAATTCTTTACAACATGACTAATGTGAAAATATGTTTAATAGGAGTGTATATGTAGAGCCTATATCAGATTGCATGCCATTTTGGGGAGGGAGAGGGAGAAAAATTAAAACTCAAAAGCTTATGGAAGTGAATGTTGAAAACTAAAAATAAATTAATAAAAAAAGAAAAAGAAAATAAAATTCAAAAAATGTTTATTGAGTGACTCAGTAAGTGGGATCTTTAGATTGCTCTAACTTTGATCTTTAGGAGTAGGTATTTTTTATTTGATCCAGTGTTCCTTCTTCATAGAATTACTAATGTTTGACTTCTTTGTGTTACAGAAACAGAGCATTAACAAGTTACCTTCTTTTAGGCTTTCACAGTTCACAGAATTTATTTCTGCCTCTTTGAAGCGGCTCTTAGTATTTATCCCAGTTTTGGAGGTGAGGAAATGGGGAGTCAGAGGTTATGTGGTGTTCCCATGGTATGAAATCTAGCTGGTGTCAGTAAAGGGAATTGATCCCAAGCCACATTGTAGATGAGACCTCAACAGACTGGAGTGTTGTGCACAACTAGTTCACTCGGCTACAGAGCCTACCTAGGACCTAGGATTTCCCAGTCACCTGAAGAATCAAGACCAGCTTGATCTTTCACTCCAAGCACACATTGATGAGGCAGGAGAAAAGATGGCAGCAACTCCGTTTATTTCTAGCAAAAAATTACTTATATAGTAAAATAACAGGAACTCTTTCGCAAGTCACAATGACGTATAGCCAATGCTGTGCTCAAGGACGGTGCATGCACAGTCCGTGCACTTACCTACCACCAATCACAAATACACTGTTAATGACTATTGAGTAACTAGGGAAGTTAGAGATGCATAGAATGGAGCACCGAACCAGGCGACCTTTACTCATAGATCAATCACCCGAGAGGGGCCTCCGCCCATCAGTGAGACCTCATGAACAGCCTGTGGCCCTCTACATCCTTACAGATCCCCAGCACTGGAACCTATCTGGAGGAGGGCAATGAAGATCGTGAGAACCAGAAGCTGTACCTTATAAGGATTGCTTGAAGGAGGTGGGGGATGAAGAGAAGATGTCTGCATAGTAGCTGCCTTCCTTATTTAAAATGTCCTCATGTGGAGGAGAGAGAAATTTGACTTAGTCCGTGTGGTCCAAGAAAGCAGAACTAGGAGCAATTGTTGGAATTTTCACAGAGTAAGGAAAGTGGCCTGGGCTAGCTGGGGGTCCTAGGGGCCCCCTCATTAGAGGTCATCAGAGATCAATAACAGTTTGTGGAGTGTGTTATACAAGAGATTTCCTGCTTAAGTACAGTGTGAACCAGCTGGTCTCTGAGGTCCTTTCCAGCTCCGTGATTCTGTGACTCATTCTAAGTTTAGTATTCTTTCTTCTGCTTTAGGGCAAGGTCTAGCATAGTGGTTTGTATTCAGTTTCCTCCGGAACCAAAGCAGTGATTAGACTCCATTAGAATGTCGTGGTGGTGGTGGTGGTGGTGGAGTGGCACTGAGTGTATAGGAGGAGAAAGTTCCCCTACTAAGAAAATAAGAAATTATTAAGTGCTTTTAGCTATAGTTATGAATTAAGGCATGATTTCTGAGTCAATATTCTTTAAAAATTCCTTTTCCTTTGGCATGATTTTAGACATTTAACAGTTTTACACTGTGCAATAGCCATCCCTTTTTGCCTTGAAATGATTCCAAAGCAAAGTGGCCCTGTCGCTGACAAGCTTATGACCTCAGTACAAATTTCTTCCTATCCTGGGCCTCCGTTTCTTCATCTGTAAAGTAAGGGAGTTGGACAAGATGAACTTAAACATAACTTCTACCCTTAGGATATTACAAGTCTTGAGTAACCCAGCATATTACAATGGAAAGACCACATTGGACTTGGTAATCAAATGTTCATCCTCACTTTTGACATTTTCTGACTATGTGGCAGTAGCCAAAATACATATAAAATGGGCTTAATTGTACCTATACTGTACATTTTACAGGGTCATTGTGATATAAACTGTAGAAAGAAAGAAGAATTGTTCCTTTGAGATGTCTTCCAGCTCTAATATCATATGAACTTACAATCCTGCAGGTAGGAAGTAGGAATGTGATTAAGTACGTGTCATCGGGAAACCAGTTTATCTGCTTATTGCCTGTAGTTTGTGACAGGG